ACACAAATAAAATTTGAACGACAATACTACCTACGTCCAACGTAAGTAAAACTAGAACAACAATACTACCTACGTCCAACGTTAGTAAAACTAGAACAACAATACTACCTATGTCCAACACAAGTAAACTTGAATAACAATACTATCTACGTACAACACAATTAAAACTTGAACAACAATACTACCTATGTCCAACACAAGTAAAAATAGAACAACAATACTACCTATGTCCAACACAAGTAAAACTTGAACAACGATACTACCTACGTACAACACAAATAAAATTTGAACAACAATACTCGCTACGTCCAACGTAAGTAAAACTAGAACAACAATACTACCTACGTCCAACGTAAGTAAAACTAGAACAACAATACTACCTATGTCCAACACAAACAAAACTTGAATAACAATACTATCTACGTACAACACAAGTAAAACTTGAACAACAATACTGCCTATATCCAACACAAGCAAAACTTGAACAACAGTACTACCTACGTCCAACACAAGTAAACTTGAATAACAATACTACCAACGTCTTCCAAAAGTAAACTAGAACAACAATACAACCTACGTCCAACGCAAGTAAAACTTGAAAGAACAATACTACCTACGTCCAATGCAAGTGAAACTTGAACAACAATACTACCTTCGTCCAACGCAATTAAATCTTGAACAACAATACTACCTACGTCCAACACAAGTAAACTTGAATAACAATACTACCAACGTCTTTGAAAAGTCAACTAGAACAACAATACTACCTACGTACAAAAGAAGTAAAACTTGAACAACAATGCTACCTACGTCCAACACAAGTAAACTTGAATAACAATACTATCTACGTCCAGCGTAAGTAAAACTAGAACAACAATACTACCTACGTACAGCATAAGTAAAACTTGAACAACAATACTACCTATGTCCAACACAAACAAAACTTGAACAACAATATTACCTACGTCCAACACAAGTAAAACTTGAACAACAATACTACCTATGTCCAACACAAGTAAAAATAGAACAACAATACTACCTACGTCCAACGCAAGTAAAACTTGAACAACAATACTACCTACGTCCAACACAAGTAAACTTGAATAACAAAACTACCAACGTCTTCCAAAAGTAAACTAGAACAACAATACTACCTACGTACAAAACAAGTCAAACTTGAACAACAATGCTACCTGCGTACAACACAAACAAAACTTAAACAACAATAATACCTACGTCCAACATAAGTAAAACTAGAACAACAATACTACCTACGTACAGCATAAGTAAAACTTGAACAACAATACTACCTATGTCCAACACAAACAAAACTTGAACAACAATACTACCTACGTCCAACACAAGTAAAACTTGAACAACAATACTACCTATGTCCAACACAAGTAAAAATAGAACAACAATACTACCTACGTACAGCATAAGTAAAACTTGAACAACAATACTACCTATGTCCAACACAAGTAAAACTTGAACAACAATACTACCTATGTCCAACACAAGTAAAACTTGAACAACAATACTACCTACGTACAACACAAATAAAATTTGAACAACAATACTACCTACGTCCAACGTAAGTAAAACTAGAACAACAATACTACCTACGTCCAACC